TCATCCAACAGGGAGGCCTTGACCCTCCAATGTAAGCTGCTCTTTTAGAGGATAATTGCCACCGCTGGGGTTTTATGGCAACATCTCCCAGGTTGCCCCAGGCCCTCTCTGCACTGCAGAACTGCACTATTAAGTCCTTGTTCAACAGAGCCACACATTCCAGGGTTCAATGTCAGAGTCAGGAACCCCCAGCACAGGTGTCTTAAGAAAAGCACATGGATTTTGAAAGGCACTTCAAGCCTTGGACCAGACCCAAGAACATCACTGCTGAGGAAGAGCTAGTGATGAGAAACATTGCCCAGGTCCTTTTAAGGTACTGCCAGCCACCTGCCCATTGCCTCCCCCTGGCATTCCCACCAGGCAGTGTGATCCCAGTCAGAGCTGCATCTCCTCATAGATCATGGAGTGTGTTACAGAGAGGTATGAAAATGTACCTTCACCTCCACCTTATGAAAACAAAACTAAACCAGATTTACCTGTCCCAGCATCCCAGTTGCCAGAAGTTAGTTTACCACCTAGAGATGGCTTCAGTGCTTTTTTTATATCCTGGATTTCTGATCTACATTATACAAGGTAACAGAATATTGGTGTAGTACAGTTCGTTGCTTTTACATTCTTACGCCTTAGATTGCAGTTCCTACTAAAATGGTGTTAATTGTTAACAATTAAGCTGCAAAATAAGCTTTTTTGCTGGTGCTATAGTTAAAAGCTTTCTCTAGTACTGCTACACTGCTACAGATCATAGAATGCCAGGATTTGCTGTTCAACAGTGCCAAATGTTGGTCACTGCTGTTGAGAGTTAATATTTAACACAGAGTATTAGTTTGCATTCAAAAGGGTATTCATCAAAATATTGGGGTTTCTGTGTACTCTGTCTATCAGAACAAACAACATATTCAAATGTTATTTAAACACAAGCAAGGTATTGCTTCAATTAGTGTTTTGGTTCAGGACGCGGCCTAGATAGTCTAAAATAAAATACCAGCAATCCCCATCTGTGTTTTTAATCTTAGACAAACTGAGAAAGTATTTAAAATGTGGAAATTTAAACCTGGCTATTTCAATAACCATTGGCTGGAGCACAATTCCCAGGATGGGTCTCCAATTCCATGTCCAGTCTGTTTACTTCTGGATACTCTTTTGTGAGATATACCACTCATGCAAACCCCTTCCCTTCAATGCTTAGTGCTTGAATCCTTGAAAATGTCCATGTCTTTCTACACCAGGCCAAGAATCACTCACAGTCCTGCTGTACCATGTGTCCCTCTCCATTTGTAACATAACTGGGTAACCCTTTTATGCTGTTTGATCCTAAAGGAGTCCTAAATTGCTGCTAGAGGCATGATGTAGCCTTTTTTTTCAGCTCAGAACAGCAAAACCTTTGTTTCCTGTAGTGTAAAAAGTCAGCAGTTCAGTTTCTTCTTTACACATAGCTGCCGTTTTTGCATGAGAGTGACTGACTCCCTTCACTTGAGGAATCCCTTCAGGGAAATGAAGGCCTAAGCCAGTGCTTCACCAAGCAAACACTCTGGTGCTGGACCCTAACTCCCACAACAGCAGAAAGCCTTGTAAGGACTCACTTGGACTGTGGCTCCTACAGATTTGAAGGGTGGGATTTGTTGATTTTTTGTACTGTTGCAAATTATCTTGTTCTATGAGGGTAAGAGGCTGTAAGTGGTTCAGGTGTGCCACTGCCTAACAATCCTCCTTAGGCCGTAGCTCTGCTACTCACAGACATTTAAAACCAGAAAGAAACCCCAAGGGTGTTGTGTGTAAAGGGCTCACCAGCAAACCTGTCAAGTGCCAGAGGCTCTGGAACCCCAGAAGAATACAGGCAAGTATTCCCTGAATATGCAACTGCTATTGCATCTGAGCAGAGTACAGATCTGCTTCAGTCGTGCTCCTTTGCTGTCTCCCACTGCAGGAGGCCTTACCTGGGCTCTTGCTGCACACAGAAGTTCTCAGGATGCTCCTGTTCTCCTCCTGTGCATTAAACATGAGTCTGTGCACTCAGCTGTCCTGCACCAGGGCCTGTGTCTGTCTGTCCTGCAGATCGGAGAGAGGACTGTGCTCTGCTGTGGGAGGAGGCTGAGCACTGCCAGCAGTGGTGGAAGGGAAATGGGTTCTCAGCTCTCCATCTGCTTCTCAAGCAACGGAACTGAGATTTTAAAGGCAGTCAGGATTTTTCTTTCTCTTGCTCTTCTCCATGGCCTGTCTAAGGATGTACCTTTACTCTGGCTTTCATATGGCTGGCTTACCCCAAGACTGTAAGGGGAGAGCTGAGAAGTCTTTGCTGTGTGTGCAGTCAAACCCAATACACTTAGAAAAACAAACCCAGGGCCTTCCTGAAGGTACTGAGGGTTTGAATACAAGTCAGACTGGGTAAGAGAAAAGGAATCCTTAAAACTTATGCCTTTATGAAAAGCCACCGTTCTTGTGGTTCCTGGGCAAGGTGAATTACATCTCTTTTTTTAAATGTGATGTTCACAGATCACTCCAGGTTGGTGGGGACCTCACACCATCACCTGGCCCCACCTTTTGTGGAAAAGAAAGCCTAGGTGGGATTTTCTAGCCCACTGCACAGCTGTGTCTGGAGAACTTCCATTGATGGGGACTCTCAATTGCTCTAACTGAAAAAAAAATTCTCTTTTATGAAGATGAAAAAATTTCCCTGTGCTTCTAGTGTCTATTACCTACAAAATAATTAAGAATTACTTTATTTGTGCTATGACATTTTTACTCATTTAAAACTTGGTCAGAAGTCTGTTCTCAATGCATTTAATTTTATTGCAATACAGCAGACCACAAAAGCCTTTCTGGTCTTACCATGGGACTCTTAAAAACAAACAAATAAACAAACAATCTTTACAGCTGAACCTGAGCAGGTTGGTTTAATTTTGTTATGTCCTTCCTGTATTCTTGAGGGGTCTGGCCAGTTTAGAATCATTTTGTGAAAAACTTTGTATAACAGTATGTAATCAAGTTCAGTTTTTTAAATTGATTATTAAATTTCAGTACTGACTGTGTCCCATGCTTGGCAAAGTGTGAAGTGCATATGGCTGCAGTCAGAAAGACTACGAGAGAAAGTTTTGTGCACAAAAAAATCCATAATAATTTGTTTAGATGCTTACATGCTGCACTTTATTACAATTTAATCATCAAAAAAGACATTAACTGGACATATCTAGAAATGTAAATATGTGTTTGATCCTCTCTGAATAATCTCTTCTGGCCTTCTGAAGAGAACAAATAAACAACCCCATCAAGAGCTGCAAAAATCAGGTTGCAGTAGGGACAGGTTTAGATCTGCAAATTAATTCAGAAATTGAACACAATGCATGGAAATGTATTTCCAACAAGAACATGGGAAAATATATATAATAATTTTTCATCTTCAAAATGGAGTGAAGTATCTAAGATACCTGAAACTAGTTTCATTCTGCCTGATGCAGGAAAATATCACAGTAGTTCTGTTGCTGCTGTACAGGGACAACTGTTTGGGGCTTAATTTTTGTGTAAAGGACACTCTCTAAGAGGTGTTCAGTCATAATGCATTGATTATGGTATTGAATTCTCTAACTCAGTTCTACTAAGTTCTCCTCTTATTGCTTTTCCAGTCATCTTTGTTAAATGTACTAATTGTGCAAAAACATTTGTGATGTTCTTTGATTATAAACTCTAAAAATTATCATTTCTCCCCACAATACCCTCAGCAGATTCTGAACTCCTGTAGCCACCAGAAAAGCTGGAAGCAACAATTTGCTTTATGGTTTCGCCTTCTAATTTGTATCTTTTTCTCAACCTGCCTCATTATTAAGGTAATTTGTAGAAATCTCATGTATTTCAGACTTCTGTCCTCACATCAATTTTGGATTAAATTGTCCAATGCACTTAAAGATATTCTGGGGGCCTAGAATTATTTTAACAAGACTAGAAGTGCATGTATTTTTTCACTGCCACTTCCATGACAACTGTATTTCATCACAACAGCGTGGCTTGTCTGGAGTAGAGGATACAGAGACCTCAACGATTCAGAAGGAATCATTAGTGTACTAAAAATGGCAGTGGCAAAATCTGCCTGGTAATGGTAGCAGTGTGTATCTGGAAAGGAGAAAGCACACAAAATATTCTGCTTGAGGTACAGGAGATGAGGATTGTGGATCCTGTGAGCTTCTGAGGCTTTCTTGGAGAGCCTTTACTGTCTGATAAAAAGACCCTGGGGCAGAAGAGTGAAGAATAGAGCTACTTCAATATACTCTGATATTCACTGACAATTACTTTTTACTTTAATACAATTTTGCCATTGTCCTTTTCACATACGGTGTGGGAGAAAGTCCTGCAACCTTTTAAACATTAAATCTTATCTCCAGGTCGAAGGGTACAGATTCTGCTTCAGTCAACTGACTGTGCTGGATGGAGTTATGCCAGGAAGAAACAAGGTTTAAAATGTGTAGACTTGAAAAGAACTATGCTACTGAATGTGAAACATCTAGACCCTCATCTAATTTGAAATATATTTTAAACATCAACGGCAGACCTGTCTTTATATATTATTAAGTACCAAATGCTGGCAAAAATTTACTTGCACCTGGTGATCTGCTTCTTTATCTAGATGCCGTCCTACAACATAATCTGCCTCACTGCAAGTGAGTTTGATGTTGCTGCTTCTCAGGACTTTATTCCTTCACCAACTTCTATTTTTAATGACAATGTAACACTTCGAAGTCCTATTTGCATTTACTAAGTGCGTCTTGCTGACTTACTCTCAAGTGAACGTAGGAATTCATGTGTCTATTTCACTTTAAAACAAACTCGTGTGAAAAATTATTTATGTGATCGGCAGCTTTTTGTAACAACGCCAAGGTCATGGGATCAATCAATGCCTACATGAATCGGCCACTCACTTGAAGAGCTAGACTCGACGATTCTGTCAAGTCCTTTCCAACTCAGACTAAGAAAGAAGAGAAATTACTCTTGCCCAGAACTCCTGAACTACTTACTGCACTGGTCCTGGCCGCAATTTCCGTTTCAAAGCACCTTAAGAGCTTTGATGCGCCTCTGGTGCGTCTGCTCTGCCTTCACCTCAGATGACTCCCTTCCCCCCCATCACAGAACTGCCCGAGCGTTTGTGCGCCTACAGCCGGCTATCAGGGGAGCGGGACGGGGCTGAGGGCTGCCCCTCTCCTGCGGCGATGCGGCACCGTGAGGTGTCCTGGGGTGTGTCTGAGCACTGACGAGCCGCCGGTGGGGCGGAGAGGGAGCCCCCAGAGGTCCCAGCCGGCGCCAGCCCCGCGGCTCCCTCAGGCCCGTCCCGCCGCAAGATGGAGGCGCCTCGGCCCCGCCCGCGCCCGCCTCGCCCAAGATGGCGGCGGGGCCCCTCCCCCGAGCCGCGCGGTCCCCGCACGCGGCAGGGCCGGGCGC